CGATGTAACATTGTCTTTAATAAAGAGTCTTTATAACGTTTGTCAGTATGACTTTGGAAATGTAAAAGCAAGCCAATATTAGTTGGCTTTCTATAGACTTGAGTCTCAAGTTTTGTTGCATTCTTGATATTTTTGTTTGACCCGCAAATTATTTTCTCTTATTGTTCGTTTTTAGTGTTTTTAAAACTTATTTTTATACATTCTTGACTTGATAATGACGTTATGTTAACGTCGGAATGTCGTTGATTTTAGCTTTCTATAGCTTTTTATGGTTTTGAAATTTTATAATGTGATCAAGCAACGTTTTGTCGCAATTTTTTATCGTCAAAGTTTAAAATAAGATACCATTATTCAGAGAAAAAACTTAATTGACTGAGAACAGGGAACCGGGAAAAGAACAGTGACAGTTTAAACGATGTGACAGCTGTGATAAACAGAACTTGCAAATCTCGTGAGATGCATGTAGCTTCTAAATTCCCTAAAATTACTGCAGCTGATTTACTCGATCTATTTCGTGTGTGGTACTCGTAGGGATGCTGCAGACCTTGAAAACACTGACCTCGAAAATGTAGTCTATCTTTTACTCGATAAACCTCAAGGCTCTTGGTGCTGCTCCTGTGTAAACAACTCTCTTGGTGTATTTCCTTGGTCATGACATGCGAGACATGCGACAACATTTCCAGTGTGTATTTACATTGTCACAATAGTATTCTGAAGGTGGTTGTAGGTGGTTTTGTATGGTTGTAGTTGGTTTTAGGTCATTCTTTTCTTGTTTTAGTAATTACATAGTCCTTCATGTACTACCTCCACGAAAAGCATCTTTTAAGCTTCACAAGGGTTTCATTCACTGACAGGTTCTTGCTCAGGGCTTAAACTCTTTGGAACCTGTTTCTAATTAGTTCTAAGAAGGGCCTGATTTTGCCCAATTTGTCATATCTATCTTGACCTCTAGGAATTCATTTTGTATTGTTCACAAAATGTATGTACCTTACAATTTGTGTAAACTGTTTCGTTGAGATTGTATTTGTGGAGAATGGTGTTTACCAGCCCCATGGCCAAAATTAAGGCAATAAATGTTCTCATTTCATCTTTATCTATCTCATGCCAAACCATACAGTGTTTATCTAAGTTTTTAACTTGCTCCTGGGCAGGATACAAATTTGTTTGTAGCACAACTACATCAAACACAGCATCAGTAAAAATCAGACAAAAATAACTCACTGAGTCCTTTTGATCTGCTCCCATTCGAACTTTAAGGCCTGCATGTTGGGTGAAAGGCAGGTCTGAATGCATCCTGATGTCTTCTACCCAAACAGGATCGCTCAAAACATCGTTTTCACCTTGTGTTGTACGTCACTGCTTCCTGGGAGGCTCTGGTTGTTCTAATTCTTCATTTTCATCACTTTCCTCAGCCTCAGGGTCAGTCTGATAAAAGTCTGAGTCAATTTCCCTGTTAGACTTTCAGTCTAAACTGTGCTGTGCCCATAGCTACAGAAGTCAATGGCATTTCATCTTCATCTATGAGAAGTCTCTGCAGCTGAATTCAATATAACTTCACTTCCAGAAGTTTATTTATCTATTAATTTACTTATTTATTACAATCTATGGTCAAAAAGGCCAAAGGCAAAAGAGTTTTAAACCCCATATAAAAACAGATCACCTATGAACTAATATATGTAATGATTTATTTAATGTTGAAAAGTGGGAAGTGCTTGCGCAATCTTCCAAGCCAGAGGCTCATGTTAAAAACACTCGAGAAGCTAAGAAANCAGAAGTAAAGGGGAACAATATTCTATGTGCGATAACACGTAGGCTTTATAAAGGGAAATCATAAAGTATGAAGGAATTAAATGCTTAATCCTCCTTAGTGCGGCTATTTTAGTACATGCTTTTTTCCAGCATGATTGCCACTTGGGGCTTGAAGGACAAATCCCGATCCAATGTAACACCAAGAATCTTGAGAGTTGGTTAAATTTCGATGGAATTAACCAATAAAGAGACTATATGGGTACTGAGATTTCCCCAGAGACATTGCCTGAGTTTTAGTAGCGTTTACTTGCAGGTATTATTCGCATCGAACCAGAGGGTTAATTTTTCGATATCTTGATTCAGTGTAGATTCAAGTGTGCAGGGGTTCTCATGGGCTATATATTGCCTTGTGTTGTCAGCATATAGATGTAGGGAGGAAGATCCAGCTGAGTAATTGACATCATTCACGAAAATATTTAAAAAAAGCGGGCCTAGATGGCTCCCTTGTGGCACTCCACAGCGAAGAGGCAGCCAGTTTGACACCTTCCCATTACATTTTACTCGTTGAAGGCGGTCTGATAGATATGACTGAATCAGTTTTAAGGCCGAATTATGAACGCCATAACCTTTCAGTTTAGCTTGTTGTAATTTGTTGCAAATTGAGTCAAATGCCTTGGATAGGTCAATAGCGACCACTGCCACAGCTTTTTTATTGTCAAGAGCCTGGCATCAATCATCAGTTAGCTTCAATAAAGCAGAACAGCAAGAAAACCCATGCAGGAATCCTGACATATTATCCGAAAAGACTTGTGTGAATATGCTATATAACTGTTTAAATTGTAGTTTCTCAAACACCTTGGGTATAACTGATAAGACACTAATAGGGCGATAATTTGTCTTAGATGTTTCATCATCTTTCTTATGGACAGGAGTGTTGTTACTAAGTTTCCATTGATATGGCCACTCACCTACATCAATACAGTAATTGAAAAGTTTAGTCATAGGTCCAGCTATGACTGGAGTGGCAGTTTGAAGCAGCTTGGGTGGTATTCAATCGGGACCAGCTGGCTTCCGAACGTTTAGATTAGATAGAATTTCAGAAAATCGAGCCACACTGACTGGTTGAAATGAAAAATTTATTGTGGACATAGGCGTATGGGCAATTTTTTGCCAGGGGAGGCGGTGAACAATTTGCCCAAAAAATTCTCGCAAGTTGCCCAAATTTTTATGAAACAGTCGTCATATGATACACTAACATAGGCATACATATAAAACACGTTAAAAGAAATAGCTGTCTCTGCCATTTCGACGGCCAAATATATCGATGATTCGATCCATGTCTTTCTCGGCTACAGAGTTGGCATATTCCCTTTCAGTGTTACTAAGTGCGATGTTACTAACACGTTGCCCCATGGTGCTGTGGAGGTAAGTTTTCAACCTGTGCAGCCCACTGAATGATCGTTCTGCAGAACATGATGTAGCAGGTGTCACTGCAAGGATAGGTACCACACTAGAAAACTCTGGGAACATATCAAATAGATCATTCTCGTGCATTGTCTGCAACATTTCTGAAACAGTCATGTAGCCTAATCCACGTACACGACGAAAACTCGCGTACGTATTCTGCTCGGCCTCCAGAATCTCCCCATCGATTTTGTAAAATTTATCAACTCGGGAGAAGCTTTCTTTATCTGGTATTTCACTCTGACAGATATTTCCCAAATCACAGAGTATTTCCTGGTCACTTCTGCTAGAGCTCAAGCTCGGACAGCACCTTGTCGATGGGCGCATAGTAAGTGTTTATACGATGGTGCGATTCCGGTGTCTGCATTTGTCTTTGCATGTGTTCATCTACAAGGGCTTGAAGGCAGCGGGATGGCGTTTGTCTGGGTGCCCTGGTTTCTCGTAATTCAAACTGAAAATTGGTCAGCTAATTCTTCATTTCAGACCCATTGCTGATGTTAACTGCCATACGCTTTTGAAACTTTCTTCACTCCAACACTGGCGTAGGGTCTGAATGGTCAAGTCGGCATTTGTACGAGCGGAGATGACATTGACCGTCTTCCCCTTAATATATCAGCACAGACTATTAGTGTTGCTGAGGATTACTTTCAGTACACACAGTCCAAAGACAAACTCCAAGTCGAAAATGGCGTTCAATAAGGCTCTGCTCTCAGAGTAGGTTTTTGGATCTTTGTCTAAAGGCAGTGTGAGCAGGGCTTTTACGATCCGTTCCATTTGCCCGTGTACGGCCTTTGTGGCTTCCCACCGGCATGACCATCGCGTGGTACTTAATGACTTCAGCATCAGTTTTAGATCCTCACCTTGTACTTCTGTGTCACTAAACAAGGCGCGTTGTTTGGGACTCGCTTCTAAAAAGTTGTACAGAGCCTGGATAATTCCCAGAGCGTTTTGCAATGGTTCAATCTGTGTCATAGTATCTTGAAGGGCAAGGTTGAGCACATGTCCATAACAGTGGACGTAGATACCGAGCGGAGAGCACTCTTCCATTCTTGTCGAGAGTCCCTTGTGTACACCGTTCATATTAGCTACCCCATCAAATGCTCTACCAGCAATGTTCTTGAGATCAAGTTAGAGTTCAGTAATAGCAGATTTCACCAGTTCATACAGTATTTCGCCTTTGGTTGATTTTGTGGAGTAGAAACCAATGAATACTTCTTTCTTTGTTCCATTCAGTGCAAAACTAAGGCAAAGTGAAACTTCTTCAGTTCTGCTAATGTCTGGTGTTTCGTCCAAGATGATAACATACCATCGGCTGGTTTGCACATCGTTTGTGATACGCTCGCGAATGAGGTCGGCGATAATTTGTACCCAATCGTTTTGTATCACGGGAGATGTCCACTGTGCATGCTTCTGATGCTGGCTTTCAAGTTTCATAGCTTCAGCCAAGCTATGTCCCTGCACCACAAGTGAATTAGTTCCAGAAAATTACCTCTATTTACATCACTGCTATTAAAACTATCAAACTATCACGTTGTTCATCGTGGCCCCATTGGGCGATGTTCTGTTGGGCTGTGAACATGAGACATTCAATGATAACTTTCAAGTAGTCGCAATTTTCCTTCACATATTGTTTGTGTGGTTCCTGGAGTTTGCTCAGTATTGAAGTATTTTTCTTTTTATTTGCTCTTCTATCAATCCATTTCGCCATGGCCTTTTGATGGTTCTCACTCTTGTGGTGTTTAGTGAGAACTCTGGTGAAATGCTCTATCTTCTTCCAATTGTCAAACGGGAAATCATGGGCATTTAAGTATTTCTGGCATGGGTAGCAGCACGCTGTATGTGTTTCACAGTTGTAGCTCAGGCATGGATAATGTTTGTACCAGGCTGGATTGAAATCTCTTGAAAAAGATTCACTGCCAAATTTTTTTTGGGTCGTAGCACTTCAAGATAGGCTGCTGAGGGCCCTCGTCTATATCACTGGACTTTTGACAAGTACCACTATGTACATTTGTATCCAAGGAAGAATTATGCGTACCATCTTCGATATCTGACTTATCCTGGGGCACTACTATCCATGATAACTGACTTCTGTGACTTTTCCAGAACACTGTTATCTATGACAACTGAAATGGACATATCACGATCAGCACTATTCACGATTTCAGAGTTAGCACCATTGTCTACGATTTCTGTCGTATCCGGAGCACTAGCACCATTGTCAGCACGATTATGTATGTTTTCCATAGCCATTATCTCTGACTTATCTGTTACACCAACATCCATAAATTCTGACGTAGCCGGAGCATGCCGAACACCATTATTCACTTGCATCATCTCGATTTCTGACTTATCTGGAGCAGTATCTAATGAATCCACTATATCTGTACTGTTGTCATTCTGAAGATCTGAGCCAACATCTTCGGTGTTGATTTTACTGTATTTAAGGATATTTATTGTTTCATCGCCGCCGGTGAAACTTAGTTGTGATTGATTTGGTGCAGAGAAACAGTAAATTTAACTCTCTTGCCTATATGCTTGGTTCTTGCATGAGCGTCTTGGTACTCAGCAACGATATCTTTTTTACATTCAGAACGGGTATTGCAATGGTGATAGGCCTGCTTACGTTTTTGTGGGGCTGGATTCGACATGTCTGATATAGTATAAGGCGAGTTTTACACAAAAAAAACTTATGTAATGTGCGTATTTGTTTTCACTGTTGCGTAAATTTTTGAAAAGCTACGGGCGTGAATTTCGCTGGCTTTACACCATAAAGGACGTGGTAAGGCCAGTTCAATTGACACGAGACAGTGGCTACAGAGCACGTGGCTCAGATCTTCTGAGAGTCTCCAGTGGATAATCTACAATATGATTCTAGAAAGTTATGCTGAAATTGACTCTAATTAATTCGTGGCTGGAAATTCCCCACACTAACTAGTGCAGTGCAGCACAGTGCCCAACAGCAAAATTACAAATATGTATATCAACATATGATCCCCTTAAAAAATAACCAGAAAGTGATCCCGTGCTAGGCAACCACTGTCTCGTGTGAATTTAACTGGCTTTACAACATAGGCTTCATTACCAGGCACTGTTCGGGAAAATGAGCCCGCACTCATCCCCCCAAAGACGGGACCTGGGAGATGGTGGAAATCGAGCCTATTTACAACGCTGACTTCAGGTTGAAACAGAAAATATCTCTTCGAATAAAAATGCACAGACACATGCAAGCTTCTTTAAAAACTAGCATTGCCCAAATTTCTCGTGCTACCCAAAAAATCTGAGTTGCCCAAAATTTGGGGGGGCTGCAGCCCCTCCCGCTCCTTTCGGCTCGTACGCCTATGATTCTGGGTGCCTTCATCCTGATATTGACAACAGTGGCGCGGCTAGAAAATTCATCCACGGAAATGGTAAGGACGGACTCATTAATCATTGGTGTTGTAAAATATTCATTAAGAGACACATTGGTGTTAGGTACAATTCTGCCATTTTCAAGTAAACAGGTGGAGCTTGTATTGACACTGGAGTTACTTTTTGGTAGGAGTGGCCTCAGTTTATTCCAGAATGAATCAAGAGAGCATCTAGAAGAAAAAGACACTTCATCAGAACAGAAATCTTTAACTGACTGTCTTTTAAGAGCTGTAACCTTATTACACTGAGACTGGTACTTATTCTAGTTTGAATTCGTAGGAATTCGGCGGAATTTCTTATACAAAAGATTCCTATAAATACACTAAAGACAATAACTGAAAAAATTCATTTATAAAAAGGAAAAATACTTAAGAATCACTAATAAACTTCTTGACTCTGGACTTAAAAATATTTACATTATCCTAATAAGGAATATCAAAAGGTAATTGATTTCACATGTCAGTTATTCGATGGAAAAAAACTATACTTCAAGACATTAGTTCTGGCATATTTCTTCTTTAAGGTTGAAAAGTCCTTAGACTTAAGTGAAAAGCAGTCTGCTTCAGAGTGGAAATATATAATTTTACTGACATCAATATTGATGTTGCCATTAAGTACTTTATATAAGAATGTCAGATCAGTCAGTAATCCTCTCTTCTCCAGTGACATGATGTTTAACTTATTCAAACGAATGTCATAGGGATCATCACTCTATAAGATAAATTTCGTTGCTCTTCTCTGTACCCTTTCCAGCTTTTCAATATCTCTTTTTGTATAGGGAGACCACGTAACTGAACTGTATTCCAGGTTTGAGGGAACTAAGAAGCAATAAAGAGTGTTCAAGATCATTGGGTCATCTAGACCTTTACAAGCTCTTTCAATTAAACCAAGCATGGTGTTGAACTTGGATACAACGTAAGCGATGTGTGGGTTCCATGATAAGTGTTCATTAGGAATAATTCCCAAGTCTTTAAACTCTGTAACCTCTTCCAATCCATAATTTTCCAGGAAGAAACTAGAAGTGGTTGAGCGTTAGTAACTTTCATGATTTTGCATTTCTTAGCATTAAAGTCCACGAAATTCTGAACACTCAATTGATGCAGATTATCCAGTTCTAGTTGGAATAATTCAAGATCACCAGCCATGTCAATGATCCTGAAACATTTGCAGTCATCCGCACAAAGGGCTGTAGTAAATACACTTGTTACACGACTCGGGCAGTCAGAGGGCCAATAACTAAAATCAACCAATCAAAATGCTCTATTGCCGGTCAGTATTCTCTCAGTATTGGACCGGGCACTGTCCCGAATGATACCGCACTTGTGTCCCTTTGAACTTCAGTCGTATAATCTTTTATTAACCAAGCTTGCTCGGGATCATACTGGAAGAATATCGGCCCTCGGTCTTTTTTGNCTTTCATCTTATTAATCAGAGTATCTATGTAGACAAAGGAGTTTTTAGTTTCTAGAATTTTGATTAATTTTGTTCCAATGGATTTTTTAAAAGAGTTCTTGGATGAGTTTTTGAGACATATATAGTTAGTATCCTATTCCAGATTTTAACACCAACCCATGAAAAGGCCTTACTTTGAACATTAAGTGCACATTTTTTGGTATAAAAATGCTCAAACGTTGATGAATGTGTGCCGTAAGAGTGAACTCGGATAATTTTAGAAAACAAATTCGAAATATTAATCTGTGCAGAACTACTATTGATGTCGTACATTAAATTAGCAATTTTTTCATAATATTGGAATTCTAGTGGTAAAAGTTGTTTTCAAGAAGAGGGGGGTATTACATGCTCCCTTACTGGGGCAGGGAAAATAAGACAGAGTACACGTTTTTGTAGAAACAAGAATGTTATTTAACAACATCTTAGATGCAGTTCCCCAAGAAGTTAATCCATACATTATATAGGGTGCAATGAAGGACTTATAAATATCCAGGTGAGCTCGACTAGGAAGAGTAGGTCTTCGCAATTAGACCAACAGTTTTACTTATTTTTGTTGTAAGGGTATCAATATGGTTTTTCCAAGTTAGATTTTCATCAATCAATAACCCAAGATATTTAATGCAATTCTTATGTTCAAGGGTAACATTGTTATTTCCTTCAGGGTTAGGAATATTAACTTGTGGCAGGTAATTAAGTCTTTTTTTCTATGGGCAGAAAGTAACAAAGTTTAATTTCTTTCTGTTAAGTGTAAATTTATTGCGGTTAGCCAACTGAATAGGTTGTTCAATTTAATATCTACAATTAAATCCAATTTCTTGAGATTTTCGCGAGAGTAAAGAACATTAGTATCATCAGCAAAAAGAAAAAATTAATTTTCCTGGAGCAATATTGAATATCATTGACATATAGCAAAAAGAGGAGTTGCCCTAAAATGGACCCTTGGGGTACATGTGACGCAGGTAGTTTGACTCCAAATGAGTTTATTCATAACACAAGCAAAGACCTAAAGAAGTATAGATTTATTTAAATGAGTCGACTAAATTAACTATTCTACCTCAGACAAAGCCTGTTTCCGACATAATGTTCCATGAGTTGGGGGTTTATATCAACAAAGACTTTACCTTGTAAGTCAGGGCAACTAACAAGTAAAATAACAACAAAATCACGGCTTACCCCGGCGGCAAGAACTAACCTGTGCTATCCCTAAAGTTTCGTATACAACCTGGTGATAATTGGTCCTAAAAGAACCAAAACTAATTTGTAAAAGAAAGCATTTGAAGCGTAAGCGAGCGCACCGAAGCATACAGAAACTGCACAAAAACTGAATTAGAACAATCAAATATATGAATAAAAACTTACAATATCTCTACTTGAAGCACCTGATAATTAACATAAGACATATGGGTGCAGGATGGCCTGGAACAAGTCTTGATTGTACGAAATGGATCCAATACCTGGTAAAACACCATGAAGAAAAACAAGCATGGCCAGTGTCCTATTAACCAGGCCTTCTTGAACTAACCACAGGGCACCCATGTCACATTCTTCCCTGCTTAAGGTTGGCGGCTCTACAACCTTACAAACGGAAAACTAAATTGACCAGCTTAATGGAAACAGTAACAATACGCGTCGATACTTTATCGTTCCTAGTTAACAACTGCATTAGAAGTAGGGTGGACTGTGCTACAGAGTTCAGTATTTGTGGGTCCATCACAGTTGTCGTGCCTTCCCTCATCACAGATCTCGGTGAGAGGTGGGAGTCGGAATGCTGACCAGCTCCTGTTCAAGTGGATCTCCTTACTGTTGGGCTGCTCTTCGCATCATCAGTAGCCAGCATCACCTCCGCTC